ACGAACTTTTTTTTTTTATTTTCACATCTGCTCGTGAAATCACCTAAAAAAAAAAAAAAAAATTCGTCCAGAGTTTCAGCTGCATTTTTCTCTTCCCTTTATTTTATATAACGGATTCGGATTTTTCATCCCATTTTTTCCCCCTCCTTCAGGTTTTCCCCCCTTTTTTTTTTTAGGCGCGATTCTCCGTCTCGTGCGGTCGTCGCAACACGAATATTTAAATAAAATTATTATCTATGAATGCAAAAAAAAAAAAAAAAAATGGCGGAAGGTAAATAAATAATGATTGAATATTTAAATTTAAATTTTTTTACACTCGAGTATTGTTAATAATAATAATAATAGAACATTACAAATGATTTTTTAAAAAAATTTTAGTAAAATTCATTTGGAAAATAATTATTTTGAACGTGTCGTTAGCAGACGAAATTTCAAAATAACAAGATAATATAAAAAGTGAAATCAGTGACGACAACAACAACAACAACAAATCCATTCATTCATTTATTTATTTATTATTATTATTATTCCTCCACAATTTAATTGATTAAATCTTTTTGTAATAATAATAATAATAATAATACGTGAATAATTTTAGAAACGAATTCGAAAACTTGCGTAATTTTTTAAATAATTTTCTCCCTTCATTTTTTTTTTTTTAAACAATAAATAAAAATTTATTAATCTTGTTATGTATTTATTAGTGCGCTTGCTTTACACAAAAATGTGAAATCTTGATATAAGAAACCTGATATTCCTGTGGTGTTCAGAAAAAATATATATATATAAATATATATACCTGAAATTTTATACCGTCTCGATAATTTGATTCTTTTTTATTTCGAATCGGATTTCAGTCTATAAAAAAAAAAAAAAAAAAAAAAAAAAGGAAAATTTATAAGTTATTCGCGCATTTTTTTTTTTTTTTTTACGACGAATACGTTTTCTCCTGCCACTTTTTTTTTTTTTTTAAAGTACGTAAATTATTATTAATACATAAAAATGTTAAAATTATTTATTTATTTTTTT